CCCGGGCTAGAGTGCCGTGGCGTCAGCCTAGCTCACAGCAACCTCAAACTCCTGGGCTCAAGCGATCCTCCTGCCTCAGCCTCCCAAGTAGCTGAGACAACAGGCGCCACCACCGCACCCAGCTAATTTTTCTATTTTTAGTAGAGATGGGGTCTCGCTCTTGCTCAGGCTGGTCTTGAACTCCTGACCTCAAGCAATCTTTCCAACTCGGCCTCCCAGAGTACTAGGATTACAGGCGTGAGCCAGCGCACCCTGCCAAGAGTTTCTGTTATTAATATCTGGTTTTAACCCACTGTGGTAAGAAAAGGAGGCATGCTCTTTTCTGTGTCACCACCACCACCACCACGCCACCTGTGGCCCTCCCAATCTGCCACATCCTGCTCTATTTTATTTCCCAGTAGCACTTATCATCTTCTAGCATTCTATATCACTGATTTATTTATTATGTTTATAGGTTGTCTTCCCCCACTAAAAAGTAAACTCCTTGAAGGGCAAGTCCTTCTCTAATTTGCTGAGATATTCGAGTGCCGAAAACAAAGTCCGGCACACAGTTAATATTCAATAAATATTTGACAAGCAAATGAATAAAATATGGGTGCACTCTTCATTGTTTCTTATACCGTGTTAAATTCCACCACAGCACTGTTTCATGGCACTCCTTCCTTAACTCTGAATGCTCCTTTTTTCATTTCAATCTTGTCTTGTTTCCTTGTTCATTATTCATTTCTTGGTTCCCCAAATTCATGTCTTCCTCAACTTCGCTGCCAGCCAAAGCAAATACTAAATTTACTTCCCTCTCCTACAGGAAATCTTTTACAAACATATGACTTTTCTTATGTATATAATTATTTGTTTTATGAGGGATGGCTTTTCATAAACACTATTTTAATTCTTCTATATCTATTTTTGAGGCTAGTATTTTCTCAAAGACTGTAAATTCTGCTTCAGTGTTTCCCTTTACACATGGGATTAAAACTGTACTCTCAGACTTGCAGCTGAAGGTCCAGCTAACAGAAGCTGCTACCCTGTCACTGCTTCTGGAGCCTGGGGAGGAGGGATGGGGCATGAAGACTGGGGGCCACATATATTCCCCATGTGAAGTCTTCATCTGTGTTTGCTAAAGAGAACCATCTCTCATACCTGACCTTCTCTAGGGCTCACCTTCTGTTCCATGCATGCACTGTAACTATATCCAGCTCTCTGTTTAGGACTACTGCCTACTAAATTAGGAAGGAATCTTGTTGCTTTATGATAAATCTGCAACAGAAAGAAGCCCAACCACTCTGGGACCCTCTATTATAATTATTTTTGAACTCTGGCAAAGGAAGGGGCTCCAAGATCAGATCATAGGCTCTGGATCCAGATTTCCTGACTTCAAATCCCAGTCAGCCATCTGGATGTGTGACCTCGGTTTCTTCATCCATAAATGGAGGTGTAACAAAGTAGGTACACCTCATCACACTGTAGAGCAATAAGTGAGTGGATACTTTTTAAGTGCTTACAATAGTGCCTATACATAAAAAGAGCTTAATAAATGTTAACCATTCTTTCTCCTCCTCTCTGTCCTGCCTCCCACCTTTATCTTTATAAACAGTGGTTTTAAATAGAAATATGTCAAGATTTCTTATTCTACTTACAGTGACAATAAAGCACTTTCTCAAAAAAGGGGTGTGTAAAGAAATTTTTCATATACTCCTTCAATTTAATTCAATCTGTACTAAATATAGCAGAAACTCCTTCCTAATCTGTAATTCACATATAAATTTTTCCATGTTCTTCTATTCTTTCAGTCTATCAGTTGGTTTACAGAAGAATGTAGTTATATACCTGTGCCTACATAAATGTTTTCTTCTTAAAGCTCTCCAGAATTATTTATTTAATTAAAAAATAGGCCGGGCGTGGTGGCTCACACCTGTAATCCTAGCACTCTGGGAGGCCGAGGTAGGAGGATCACTTGAGGTCAGGAGTTCAAGGCCAACCTGAGCAAGAGCAAGACCCCGTCTCTACTAAAAATAGAAATAATTAGCTGGGCGTGGTGGTGCTCACCTGTAGTCCCAGCTACTCGGGAGGCTGAGGCAAGAGGATTGATTGAGCCCAGGAGTTTGAGGTTGCTGTGAGCTAAGCTGATACCACGGCACTCTAGCCCAGGCAACAACAGAGCGAGACTCTGTCTCAAAAAAAAAAAAAATAATAATAATAATAATTAAAAAATAGACTTCTCATTGGTGTATCATGTAATTAATTTCGGGGAACCAGGAATAATGAATGTTTCCTGTTTTTTTCAACATAGACATGAGTTTCCCTTAGAGTTAAGTCAGACTAATCTACAATACCATATTAAGAAGAATAAGAAGAAAGAACTCAGTTACTCACGATGCTCCTGAATTCATGATGCAGCTCTTTGCTTCACAGAAACAATCTCTTCCATCATCATGATTCATTCCAAGATTATGACCCAACTCATGGGCAACAATGGATGCAAATATCTCCACAGTGATTTGCCCAAACTGCCCAAACACAGGAAGGTAATAATTAGGTTTCTGAACAAAAAGGAAATATTTTGCTTCTCGGATTATTTTTTCACAAAAAGAAATTTATTCACTGCAATGTTGACAGCCTATACTATAAATCGAGCATCTAACAACAGTCTTCATATTATACATTTCAGTGTAGTAAGAAACTGTATGAATCACACACTGATGATGGAGATGGATCCTTTAAGCAATAGATAAATTACTTTAGCAACTAACAGATGGTTCTAACTTAATTCTCTCAAACGGAGCCTCTGGTTTCCTCATCTACAAAAAGTAAAGAGCTAATAAACACATAATAAATATACGAAAACTCCAGTCTCTAGGGAAAGAATACATCTACCACTTCTACTTTGCTCCTCGTAACACTCAAAATATTGTTTTAAGGACCAGGGGAGGAAGTATAGAGTCAAAAAATGCTTGACAGCATCCTAATGCAAATATCCAAAATTGAACTTCAAGAACAACATACCACATTAATCCCGCCTGCGTGGCTCCTTGAACACACTGTTCCCACAAATGCCATTCCTGCAGTCCCACCAAAACCTTTCTTTCTAAATGAAAAGGTAAAAGTTATAAAATGTACTTGAGGAAAAATGGAACACATTGCTCCTATTTCTATGGGTAATCTTAACTGGATTGGGAGAAGCTACAAAAACTGGGAGAAAAATCACAAAGATAAATAACATTTTAAAATCAGAATATAGTTATGCCTTATCTCCTTTTTATTAATTTTTTTCAGACAAGTGAAGATACTTTTTAAATACAAAGTCAAGATTCTTTTTTTATCTTCTAGATGAAACCCTTCCCAAAATGCATTACATTTATTTATTCAACAAATTTTAGTGAGGAGAGATAGATAACAAACTCAGTGAACAGATTTACATGGGAGGTTGCAAGGCAGTGAGCACAGTGAACAAAAGAACCACAGTGGTCTCCGTGTTCCTCCTCAGTCATGCCCAACACACCTGGACCTCAGGACCTACTCCCTCTGCCTAATATACATCCCTAACTCTTTTGCTCACCTTCCTCAGGCCTTTGCTCAAAGTCATCTCCCTGGCCAGGCTTTCCCTGGCTATGTTACCTCTAATTTCACCCTCCCTCCTCCAATACTTTTATGTCTACACTCCCAGTTTTATTCTTCCTCCTAACCACTTATCATTACTTAACATACTATATATACTTATTTATCTCATTTATGGCTAATATCCTCCACCAGAATATGGACTCCATGAGAGCAGGAATTTTTGTCAGTTTTGTTCACTGCTATATCCCAGTGACTAGGGAATACACCCAATAAATATCTTTTAAATGACTGAATAATCCTTCTCTGGGGCATCTGACCAGCAAGGAGAAGACAACTAGAGGTACTGACATAAGGGGATTGCCAAGGCAACATTCCAGCCAGATCACCCTATAGTAAACCCCCACAGTCTCCAACATCCACTCATGTACTCAAAAGCTTCCAAAAGGATTTTTAGTTCCCCATTCTTAACTATAAACAAAAAAAGGATCAAACATCTGGGAAATGTCTCTAACAGGACAGATGGAGACCATATAAACACATGAGGAAAAGATAGCTTTGGTAGTAGGTGTGGTTGGGCAAGGCATATTGAGTATGCTCAACACCTTCGCCTTGGTCTTTTGTGAACTAGATGGCATTCTCACTGGTATGAGGATATTTGCATGTCCAATTGCACTAAAAATTAATAAAAAGGTCAGGATGAGTACTTGGTGATTATTGGGCCATAAAAGCCTATTCAGTTGTTTTCAGTAAATTGCTTTAAAATCAACCCACATTAACAAGAGAAAACAAATGAGAAAAAAAGAGAAAAAAAATTAAGAGGACCAGGACAAGAAACCCAATATCTGCGTAAAAGGAATCCCAGAAGAAATGAAGAATAAAAATAAAACAGACAACTAAAAACTATAAAAGAATTCAAGAAAAATTCCTAAAACTGAAAGACATCAGTTTTCAGATTGAAATGACCCACTGAACACACAGTACAAATGCTAAAAGACCTACACCAAAACATATCATCAGGAAAAGTCAGAAGCCTGGGAACCAAGAGAAGATCCTACAAGTCTCCAGTGATGGGGAAAATACACAGGCCACATACCAAAGATCAGGAATCAGAATGGTTTCAGGCTTCTCAATAGTAATACTGGAAGTCAAAAGAGAACAGAGCAATGCCTTCAAAATTGTGAAGGAAAAAGATTTCACGCCTAGAATTTCATACCCAGCCAAATAATCAAAAAAGTCACAAAACAAACTAGAAAGCACACCTCTGAAAAACTGAGTTACCTTGGCCCTAGCCTAATCAGAGCTCAAATTGAGATAATTTTTATTAAATAAATTCTGTTCCGAGACTGTGAAAACTTATTTTCAGACATGTAAGAGATCAAAATTTTTTTCTTTCCCTGTATCTTTTCACAAAAAGCAACTAGAAAACATGCTACACCAAAATAAGGAAGTAAACCCAGGAAAGGAGGAAGAGGACACGGGATAAAGGTGACAGGGAATCCAACACAGAAAAGGCCTCATTATCCATAACGTCACATCAAACTAAGTTTCCTCATTTAAATGAATATCCCAAAACCTTAAGAGAATATAATTCTAATGCAAGAAAATAAGTAAAAATTATTATTATGACCATTTCATTAACAGTACTTCAAGAAAACAAAATCACTTACAGAACTAGCTGTGCACTGTCGTGTCTCCGACGTGTTATAAGAAACTTTTCTCGCCACTGCACAAAGTTCCCCAACACATCGCCAGCACCTCCGACTATGCTGATCAAGTTTCCATTTGTCCAAATCTCCAGTCCAACTAGCACAATTCGGATATTTAACATAATATACATCTGGGAAGAAAAGCAAAATAAAAGTATGTAAACTATGTTAAAGAATATGAGAAAATTCTTTTAATCACACGAAATTAAATTAATTTAATTTAATTAATTTAATTTAAATTACTTAAATTAAAAACAGGATTCCCTCCTCCAAAACAACAAAATCTCTCCTTTACCTCTCAAGAGTCTGAAGGATAGTAACAGAGATTCAAATTTTTTTTTTTATCTTCCATTCTAAAATCTGACAAACTCTGAAATTAAAAGTTTTTGGTAAAATTGATTCCGAAGCTTGCCCTAAAGTAATGCAAGCCCATTCATGGTCCATATTTACACTTAGTGTAAGTATTCAGACACTTCACTGCAGAAATATCAATGAGTTTGATCACAAGGTACTACCCCAAGATCCTGCTGGAGGTGTTACACAATACAAAGTAAACCATACTGTCTTTCTAAACTCTTATCTAAAATTCTAATCACAGGTATCTTAGAGGTTTCAGATAAAGGACTGTGAAACTCATATCTATTTCATAGAGATACTGTGAAGACCAAATGGGCCAATAAATGTAAAGCACTTAGGTTGGTTCCTAGCACACTGTAAATACTCTACTGAATGCTATCATCATCATCATCATCATTATTATTATGCTTAAAGTTCATATCAGGTGAATGCCTTACAGAGAAAATTATAAGAACATGTATCTAATTCTTTAATGTCGCCTAATGGATGAACTCCAAAACCTCCACCCTACTCTCTCTCTCACACAGACACACACACACACACACACACACACACACACACACACACACAAAATTAATACTGTGATGTCAGAGTTTCAGGGTAGAAGGCAGTCTTATTCAAAATAAGAATCTCTCAATAAAAATTTAAAGATCTTGGGAGCATTGTAGGGGGGAAGGGCATGCCCCTAACCCTGGCTTGGATGAGGCAAAGACATAAAGTGTAACCTTAATGTTTGTACCCTCACAATACCCTGAAATAAAAAAAAATAAAATAAAATATGGAAAAAAAAATTTAAAGATCTTTTCATAAACACCAAAGCATCTTAACCTGGCTACTCTGAAAATAAAGTATATGCTAATATGAAATCTCTTACTCTTCTCAAAGTCTTTGTACCCTAGTATCTTTCTTTTAAACATTGAAAAAAGTTACAAAATAAATTAGAAAGCATACCTCTGAAATACTGAGTCAGTTAGGCCCTATGATAATCCAAGATTAAAATGAGACAATTTTTAAACTCTGTTCTGAGACTGTGAAAGAATATGACAGAATAATCCCAGCTGACAGAAAATACAACTCACACTATCCAAGTAGTTTGCCAGACGAATCATCTCTTCTCTCACAGCTGTCTGATTTCTTCCCATCATGTCATACTGGAAAAGCAAAGAAGGAAAATCATTACCATCAAAGTAATTTAAGAATAAAAATGTCTGTAGTTAATTACAATGAAGAATCTAAATATTTCCTCTGAACTAAAAATTGAGGCATTTAAACATTTACCAATATTTTGAATTAATAAATTCAAAGGACATATTTTAGTAATAACTAGAATTAAAGAAGAATGGGTAAAAGTGTGAAATGAATAATAATGAAAAAGTACTGACATCTTTGTTTTCTTCAAATTAACATAACTTTAAAATGAGTTTTCTTCTTAATGTTCTTTCCATTAATTTTAATGCAAAAATATTTTCAAGTATTTCACAAAGGTAGTTTAAAATGATCAAAATGCATAGATTAAGGAGTAAAAGACAATCTAAAGAATTTCCTAACCCTTTCACCTCTTAGGCCAATGACATTGCCAATAAACCATTTCTAAATCCTTGACTATAGTAACAATGAGAGATTAACCAATAATCACTAGTTGAAAATTATACAGAGATAGAAATATAGGGATATTAATATATAAAAATTTAAGTCAAATAATTGATATGACTGATTCTTTTCTTTGGCTAAATCCAAATGTCTATTTTAACATTATTTTATACAACTAACTAACCAAAACAAAATTTTAAAAAGAATTTATGATTTTGCTCTATGATAAAGGTATTAATATCAGAATATAACAGACTTTATCAGTTAGGCATCTTGATTCTCTTAAACAAGAAAAAAAAATTTAATACATTTGATAGAGCTTGACTGAAATGCAATCATTTTTATTTGAACCATTTTCTACCTGTATATAACAAATCGATCTGTAGAGAGCAATAAAGAAACACATTTTAAATCTCTTTTTGTGACTTGTCCAAAACATGCTACAGGAACTTTTTACCCATTACTTGGGGCAGAGTTTACACTTGCTCTTATTCTCTGTTTTTTCCTCCTACCACTTTAGAATAATAAACCTATAATGAACAAATCTGGGTCACTCTCTTAATAATAATGGATTGTTTTGTTTTCCAACCTACATACAATATGGGACTTTTTTAAAAGCATAAAAATCTTCAAAACTGTCTCCACAGCTAACAAGAAAGGAATTACCAATCGTACTTAGTTTATACAAATAACTTTCACACAAAGTTAGAAGTAAAAGTCAAACATCTCAAATAATCCATATTTTAAATTATATAGCCACTATATCTAAAACTGATAATCCTGTAAATGCTGAAATACACACATTACTAAAGCACTTAGGTCGGTTTCTTAAGTATATATAAATAAGGAAAACACCCTCATGTTATCCTGTACACTGAAATTAACACTATTCCCTTCTAAAGCATGCCAGCACCTGGAAGTTTTCTCTCTCTTAAAGTATATATTAGCTGAAATTCTAGAAAACAAAGCAATTTTATTAAAAGCAATACCTTTTTATAATGGACTGTGAAAGCCACAGCCCATCAAAGTAAACTGAAAAGTTCTTAAGATTCTGACTAAAGAATCTTAAGAAATTCAGCATAAGCAAATCGCCAGAAGAAAATAAAAAAAGAGTCATTAATAAAAATAAAGTTTTTGCTACATTCGGCTTCTGGTGGTATTCTGTTGGAATATTATGGCATTTGAGTTTTTAAATTATCATTCAAGAAAAATCAATACAAACACATCATATTTATATTTCCTTCATGGGATGCTCACTTCTCATCTGCTTTTCATGAAAAAGAAGAAAAACTGTCACCAATCCTACCCTTTCCTTGTCTACGACAATGAACAGCTCCACATATCGGGTCTGTGGCAGGACAGCTCTTCTTCTCTGTCAAAAACACAAACATCATAAAGGCCAAAAAAAGTTTTAAGGCTATACATTTCTCATTTGTAATGATCACACCCTAATCTCTAGTCACTTATATCATGTCTGTTAAGAACATCATAAAATTATTTTACTTAACATCTTCTAGATCAATAAAGTCAAAAACATGTTTTTTTTAAAGTATTATCTACTTCTCAGCGATGAAAACTTTGTCCAGCTATGCTACTAACTTTATGTGACCATGAACTACGTCAAAGGAGAAAAAAGTTGTTTTTTTGTTTTTTTTTTGAGACAGAGTCTCACTCTCTTGCCTGGGCTAGAGTGTCGTGGCATCACCCTAGCTCACAGCAACCTCACTCCTGGGCTCAAACGATCCTCCTGCCTCAGCCTCCCAGGTAGCTGGGACTACAGGCACATGCCACCATGCCCGGCTAATTTTTTCTATTTTTAGTTGTTTGGCCAATTTCTTTCTATTTTCAGTAGAGACAGGGTCTCTCTCTTGCTCAGGCTGGTCTCGAACTCCTGAGCTCAAACAATCCACCCGCCTAGGCCTCCCAGAGTGCTAGATTACAGGCGTGAGCCACCGCGCCCGGCCGAAAAAAGTTTTTAAAATTAAAAAAATTTTTTAAAAGTGTTATCTGCTATCTTCATTGATCTGAGCAAAATTCTAGTTAAAGATTAAATGGGTTAGTAAAGTTTACAAAGCACAATCACTGACTTTCTAAAATTGAAACCACACACACACACACACACACACACACACACACACACACATACACATCTTAATGGGCTTAATGGGAAACCCCCTTACCTTGTTCATAGACAAAGAAAGAATATCCACTAAAATCCCAGAGCAGAAGTTGGGACAAGGTTGCCGCTTTAAAAAATGACTAGTTTTGTCATTTTACAGAAATTTACGCAAAGTAGAATAAGCAGAAATTTAAATGTTTTCCAATGTTTGTAGTTAAAAAGAACAATCTAAGAGTCAAAACAGTAGACGGTAGGAGAGGGAATGAAAACAATGCCATAAATTAGTATGAGCTATTTAAAAATATGCCTCTTCCAACAGAGCAACATCATCTCATATGTAGAAAGGTACATTCCCTGCAGCTGAAGTTGATCTAGATCAATTTCAATCTAAGAGATTCATGTCAAGAGTAAATGAGAGCCCTAAAGAAATTGTGAAACAGGGATATGAGTATCCTTGGAAGACACCTAAAGTAATTAAAGTCCTAAAGCCAAATCTCTCTCTCAATTTCCCCAATCTAGAGCTCAAGAATCACCATTCCAGTTTGAGTAAGAGGTTTCTAAAATAAACCTGAAAGACAACATGATGGACTATTATGTAGCAATGCTAAATATTATTACTGTTCAAGATTTAAGCCCTAGTTTCCAAACCCACAGAATCTAAACTGTACTTGGAAGCAGAAACTCTATATTGCTCATTTTTTTATCTCCTAGTATCTATCACAATGTCCGGAATGTACTTGGTAAAAAAATAAATAAATAAAAATAAAAACACTAATAACTATTGGTTTAATGAATAAATAAATGATTTTTCTAAAATTAATCTGAGCTATGAAGAATTGTATTATTTCCTTACTCGAAGTAGCTGAGTCATACTGGGAGGCTCTTTCTCTTCATCCTGTGTGGTTTCTTTCTCTATATCCTTGTTGGAAACTGCACATTTCAGAGGCTCTTTGTGGACATCATCCATTCGATAAACGATATGCTCAAAATGAGAGCTGTTTTGCAGGGGTTCAATTCCATAACTTGCATTCTCTAAATGCAGCAATCCTCTAAATGTTGCATTACACATATACATTTTTAAAGGAAAAAAAATACACAGGAAAAAGAATCAGAAAACCTAAATTCACGTCCTCGTTCTTAACATGTGTAAGAAAGGTAACATGGTATAGAGGAAAACACAGAGGATTTAGATTCAGGGGAACAACGTGGACCTAAATTTAAAGCTCAAAACTGCTACTTACCAGCATCAGTGCCTGTGAGTCACTCAAACTCTCTGAGTGATCACTGTACAATGGAAAGCACTATAAGGTAGTGGCTGAGAGAACTGGGAGCCAGAAGACCAGAGTTTGAGTCTCAAATGTTTTCTACTAGCTGCAGGACTCTTAGTAAGTTATTTAACTTCTGCCATAGTTTACATTCTGCATAGGATTTTACTGAACACTATTTACTAAGCACAAAATACTTAGAACATTGCCTGGCACAGAGTAACCATTCAATAAGTGTTATTACATAAATGAAGATAATAATAGCCATTTTATGTAGTTGATTTGAGAATTAAAAGTAATATTTATTAGTTCAATCATGCAAATCATGTAATTAACCAACCAGCACAGTGCCATAATTGCCAAGCTCTCAATAAACGCAATTTTAACACCATTATAACTTCATTTGATGCGTGATGACACGTTTTCTCTGAACCTCAGTTTGCCCACCTAATAGAGATAATGAGCCCTTTTTCACAGTCATTATCAGACTTAAATTAAATACAGGTGAAAATTTTATAAAGTGCTATAAAAATGTAAGGTATATTTTAAATAGCAAAAGATAGTGTCCTCAAAAAATGAAATCTCTTTAGACATTAAAATTCATAAACTATAATATTTTCCTACGTAAACATGCCAAGAGTATCTGAAACATAGCTCTAAAGACCTTCAGTAACATCAAAGTAAAATCCAATTTTGCTAAGTCCCCAAAATGATTTGATCTGCAGACAGAAGTAGGAAAGTGGGTAAGAAATAGGGGAAAGGAAAAAAAACAGATAAAGAAAATTTCTTACCTGAGTCCAAAACAGTCGCTAAGAGCAATGGATGAATTATAAACTCCCTCCACATAGCCCCGATAATGACAATGATTCTAAATGAAAAACACTGTGTTATCTTTGAATACTGCTACATTGCTGAAAATCATTATAGAAATTGCAGAGCTAAGAAAACTACTTGAGGCCAGTCAACTAAGAAATTTTATTTATATTGTTGGCATCTCATAGTATCACATGGCATTCTTCCGACTACCTGCAGACTATCTACTATCACCCTCCAAGTACACAAATGTTTAGACAGAATTCCAGAGGATACAAGGCACAAACAACTCTGCCTCAATGACCTTTCAGCCTAGAGCAGAACAAGACAGCATTATCTCATATTTAACATTTTAAATCACAGTCAATCCAAGAAGCAACAGCAGCCAATTGACTTCTAATATGGGAAAGGAGTGTTGTGAGAGTGTTATGGCC